GATAGATAGATAGATTGACTGACTGACTGACTGACTGATTGATTGATTGATTGATTGATTGATTGATTGATTGATTCAGATACAAACAGCCCTGGTGTTTCTTTCAAATCTGAGCAATCTGTTACTTTTTATTTTAGCAAATGCTCAGCATAAAAATAAGAATTTAACTAAGACTGGTTTAAATTATTTTCCTACAGATTAACTAAGGGCAAAGAGCTTCAAAATATATATATTTTAAAATATTTATCGGCTCTTCTGAAGGGTTTCTGTGTAAATGTTTTTCTCAGACTCAGTTCTCAGGTTTTGGGCCAATCAGAACGGACTGTTGTTTATTTATATTAGAACAATTAAGATCTGATCCACGAACACAGAGAAACGCCAGCAGCCAGCCCCTAGAGTCAGATTCCTCAAAGGGCTTCCCCTCACCTTACCTTAATTATGGTGGGCTACCCCCATTAAACAGGATTAATGTAATCAAACCTCCACATTTCTTTTCAGATTTAAAGGAACGATAGATAATAATTTTACAATAAATAATCACAAAACAGTCTAATGTCTCATGTTGGAAGAAAGGTTATACTGAAACAGATTTCCTTCTACGTCAACTGGAGGGTTGCCAGTTTTTCTCCTTTCAAAATGGTCAACTAAGAACTAGTTTTCATTCACAATCTGTAAGCCTGCAAGGCTGCCAAATCTGTGCTGAGCTGGTGCTGTTGTGCCGGCATTTGTAATTCAATAACGGCACACAAAAACTTCCCGAGTTGTTTAAAGAAATGAAGCTGGTAAACAGGAGCGACCCAGAAGTTATTTATCGTGCCTTAGCTACAAAAGTGGCATACACCTTAAGCCCTGGATCGCACATATGTTGTTCTTCAATTAAAATGAAAAGTAGTGCTGGGTGTTTTGACCACGCCTGTCACGTACTTTGAGATTTATCAGTTTGTAAAAGTTTGTAATTAGCATGACGACAAATCAGACGTTGGTACATCGCACCACATAATCTACTCTACCCTAGAGTAGCTGCTGCTTTCCATATAGTCAGATTTATAGTCATTCTTTCCTCCTGAAGGAAGGATTTGAAGTTTGCTGAACTTACAGCCATTTTTTCTCTGCTTTTCTCTGTGTCTAGTTCCACAACATCAATTTGGTGATGCGCCTTTGTAGTCCTAGGCGTATATTCAAACAAAAATTAATTAACCCCGCCGTTAAAAAATAAGCCAGTTCTTGGCATTAAAATACACCTTTAAAATTCACAGACATCATGTGTGAAATCCATGGCACATAACAAACGGATGTAGAAAATAGCGTTTGTAGCCCCTTTGACTTGCATTCGTTTCTTAGTTCTTCTGGGGACCCATGGTCCAGATATACAGGTGCTGGCCAGTAAATTAGAATATCATCAAAAGGTTGAAAATATTTCAGTAATTCCATTCAAAACGTGAAACTTGTACATTATATTCATGCAATGCACACAGACCAATGTATTTCCAATGTTCATTACATTTAAATTTGATATTCATAAGTGACAACTAATGAAAACTCCAAATTTGGTATCTCAAAAAATTAGAATATTCTGAAAAGGCTGAATATAGAAGACACCTGCTGCCACTCTAATCAGCTGATTTACTCAAAACACCTGCAAAGGCCTTTAAAAGGTCCCTCAGTCTTGTTTTGAAGGCACCACAATCATGGGGAAGACTTCTGACTTAACAGCTGTCCAAAAGACAATCATTGACACCTTGCACAAGGAGGGCAAGACACAAAAGGTGATTGCTAAAGAAGCTGGCTGTTCGCAGAGCTCTGTGTCCAAGCACATTAACAGACAGGCGAAGGGACGGAAAAAATGTGGTAGAAAAAAGTGTACAAGCTCTAGGGATAACCGCACCCTGCAGAGAATTGTGACGACAAACCCATTCAAAAATGTGGGGGAGATCCACAAAGAGTGGACTGCAGCTGGAGTCAGCGCTTCAAGAACCACCACGAGGAGACTCATGAAAGACATGGGATTCAGGTGTCGCATTCCGTGTGTCAAGCCACTCTTGAACAAGAAACAGCGCAAGAAGCGTCTCGCCTGGGCCAAGGACAAAAAGGACTGGACTGATGCTGAGTGGTCCAAAGTTATGTTTTCTGATGAAAGCAAGTTCTGCATTTCCTTTGGAAATCAAGGACCCAGAGTCTGGAGGAAGAGCGGAGAAGCACAGAATCCACGTTGCATGAGGTCCAGTGTAAAGTTTCCACCGTCAGTGATGGTGTGGGGTGCCATGTCATCTGCCGGTGTTGGCCCACTCTGTTTCCTGAGGTCCAGGGTCAATGCAGCCGTCTACCAGGAAGTTTTAGAGCACTTCATGCTTCCTGCTGCTGACCAACTTTATGGGGATGCAGACTTCACCTTTCAACAGGACTTGGCACCTGCACACAGTGCCAAAACCACCAGCACCTGGTTCAAGGACCATGGTATCCCTGTCCTTGATTGGCCAGCAAACTCGCCTGACCTTAACCCCATAGAAAATCTATGGGGTATTGTGAAGCGGAGGATGCAATACGCTAGACCCAACAATGCAGAGGAGCTGAAGACGACTATCAGAGCAACCTGGGCTCTCATAACACCTGAGCAGTGCCACAGACTGATCGAGTCCATGCCACGCCGCATTACTGCAGTTATTGAGGCAAAAGGAGCCCCGACTAAGTATTGAGTGCTATACATGCACATTCTTTTCATGTTCATTCTTTTCAGTTGGCCAACATTAGAGAAACAAACATTTTTTCATTGGCCTTTAGAATATTCTAATTTTCTGAGATACCAGATTTGATGTTTTCATTGGTTGTCACCTATAAATATCTAAATTAAACGTAATAAACATCGGAAATACATTGGTCTGTGTGCATTGCATGAATATAATGTACAAGTTTCACGTTTTGAATGGAATTACTGAAATATTTTCAACCTTTTGATGATATTCTAATTTACTGGCCAGCACCTGTAGGTGGGCGTGACTTAGGTGCCCTATACAGATGTCAATCACAGAGCGTGTGCACGCACACCTTCGGGAGTACCTGGACTGATGCAGAGTGCGCGAGGGGTCACATTTTCAGATTTTTAATTGTTTAAAAGTTTTAAAACCATTTATCACTTTAATTCCATTTCACAATTATCTGCTACTTTGTGTTAGGTACATGGTTTTAAGGTGTCAAAGCGCGATAATGTTTAAAGGGTTATGAATACTTTTGCAAGGCACTGTACAAGTTTAAATTTTGACTTTTAATGTCAACATGAATAAAGAAAGAAATGAAAATTTCATCCATCCATTTTCAGCCACTCATCCAGGGTCGGGTCTCAGGGGCAGCAGCCTATGCAGAGAAACCCAGACTTCCCCAGCTCCTTGGGTCAGCCCCTCCAGGGGATCCCCAAGGTGTTCCCTGCCCAGGAGAGAGACATAGTCCCTCCAGCGTGTCTTAGGTCTTTATTTAGGTCTTCTCCCGGTTGGACACGCCTGGAGAACCTCACCAGGGAGGCGTCTAGGAGGCATCCTAATTAGATGTCGAAGCCACCTCAACTGGCTCCTCTCGATGTGGAGGAACAGCGGATCTACTCCGAGCCCCTCCTGGATGGTTGAGCTTCCCACCCTATCTCTAAAGGAGAGCCCAGCCACCCTGTGGAGAAAACTAATTTCAGCTGCTTGTATCCACGATCTGGTTCTTTCCGTCACTACCCAAAGTTTGTGAAAAAAGGCGAGGGTGGGAACGTACAGCGACACTGACCGAAAGCTTTGTCTTCTGGCTCAGCTCTCTTTTCACCATGACAGACCGGTACAACGCCCACATCACTGCAGATGCAGCACCAATCTGCCTGTCGATGTCACGCTCCAGCTTTCCCTCACTCGTGAACAAGACCAGAGATACCTAAACTTCTCCACTTGGGGCAGAACCTCATCTCTGACCTGGAGAAGGCATTCTGCCCTTTTCCGACTCAAGACCGTGGTCTCAGGCTGCAAACTGCTCAAGTGAATGCCAAAGATCACATTCTGATGAAGCCAACAGGACCACCTGATCCTCAGGCCACCAAAACAGATGTCCTCAACACCTCGGCTGTACCTACAAATCCTGTCCATAAAGGCTCGGCTGCGGCCTTTCTGCGTGGAGTTGCGTGTTCTCCCCATGCATGTGTGGGTTTCCTCCGGGTACTCCGGTTTCCCCCACAGATCACAACATGACCTACAGGTTATAAATTGTAAGTCGCTTTGGATAAAAGCGTCTGCTAAATGAATAAACATAAACATAAAGGTTATGAACAGAATCGGAGACAAAGGGCAGCCTTGGCGGAGTCCAACTCTCGCTGCCGGCAATGCAGACCAAGCTCTGACACCGGTCATAGAGGGACCCCGCAGGCCTGGTACCCCATACACCCCACAGGGCCTCCTGGAGGCGGTCGAACGCCTTCTCCAAATCCAAATAAAAATAATTTTTTTTAAATTATTTTGAAACACTTTGTGCTATAAAACATTTCTACTGCAATTTAATAAACGCTTAGAGGAAATATAAGATATATTTAATGGCTTAATAATTTATGTAGAAATGTTTTATTTATATTTATTTATTTTTTTAATCATTAATAAATTTATTACATTGTTGTGACATGTAGTGTTTCAGTGAGACATTGGGGACTACGATTAGCTCCTGCCTGTCTAAGGGTAACGTGTTACTTTATAAACAGCGCTCCATACTGTTTGGTTTATTTTGAGATCATTTATTTCTCCTAATAATGAAAACTGCTACACCTGATGCCTTTGAGATTGGCAGGTTTTCAAAGTCAGTTTTAGGATGGTGGTCTCTTTTATGAGTAAACAAAACATTTTACATCAACCAGAGCAGAAGGGCTTCACTGGATCTGTTGAGAGGGCAAGAGGAAGAGGGGGGATGGAGGAGGGAGGAGAGCATGTGTGCTTGTGTGTAAGAGAGAGAGAGAGAGAGAGAGAGGGAGAGAGAGAGGGAGAGAGAGGGAGGGAGGCTCTGCATCAAAGCAGCATGCAGCAGCAGCAGCAGCAGCAGAAGCAGGCTGGGCTTTCTGATCCATTGTTCCTGGTTGTGCTGCTGCCGGACTTCATTGTTCCTCGTTAGGAAGCTCAGAGAAGAAGGAGGGCATAGGGAGAAAACGCTGGGAGCCTTCCGCTTTGTTTGCTCTGGATTATTTCTACTTGGACACACTATTGTTGTGGACAAAAGAGGGACTTCAGCACTCCCGGGCTGGCTCTTCCTACTGACTGCATTGGGGTCTACAGTACCAAGTGGGGACTATGGGTCTGCCTGGGAGGACCCGGTTTCTACTGGGGCTGTTCAAGCACCCTGTAAGCTCCTGTTTGTGGAGGTTAGCGCTGCTCTTTCTCTCCATGTGGACTCTAGATGCACAAACCGCAGTGGAAACTAAACCCTTCTACATCTGGCAGACAGGTATGGTCCATCTCCTGTCCCCATCACACCTCCTGGGTCTGGGGATTCCCAGTTTGGGTTCCAGTCTCACTCTGCTCATCCCCTATTCCTTTATAAGGGAAGCTCGGCGCTCTTGTACTGCTCCGTCATCCATTAAATCTCATTAAATCTTTTGGTCTTTCCACACACGTAGAAGTTTATGCCAGAGCCTCCTCTTCCTCACCAGGGTGATGGAGCCGTCTTGCTACAGTATCATGTGAGAACATGTTTACTGCAGTCCCAGATGGGAACGTCTCTTGACCCCAGAATGGGTGTTGAAGGTGTAAGGTGTGGAGCTGCTCTTGGGCAGAGCGTCCTCCTGGAGGCAGCTGGGACTCTTCAGCTGCCCCATTGCTTGTTGGACTCATTTATCACAGTCTGTGTGTGTGTGTGTGTGTGTGTGTGTGTGTGTGTGTGTGTGTGTGTGTGTGTGTGTGTGTGTGTGTGTGTGCACTGATTAGAAACTGTATACACTCAATAATAGCAGCGCAACCACCAGCAGCCCTGACACTGGTGTAGAAGTGGAGGTGGTGGTGCAGCAGTGATGGGTGGTGCCGACCCCTCGGCCGTGAGAGAGGAGCACATGGTCACAAGGACAATATTGATGGATGGTGCGGTGATTGGATGGAAGATGAGGGGGAGGAGTGATGATTGGAGAAGGAGTGGGGTATGGATCTCCATCGACCCATCGGGATAGAAGAGCCTCTGGTGCATCTGGAGATCAATGTCCTCCTTCTCTCCTGTTTAATGTTTTAGCTCGTCTCCATCCTCCAAAGGCTTCACTGAGATCTTACTCCACATTCCCGGAGCAGGAAAGGGCTGGTCTGGAATCATCTCTTGTTTAGTTTTATAGAAGTGTGAGAAAACAAACCAGCCCTGAAAAAAACACCAGATGCTTTTATTACAGCTGTTTGTTTTCAACAGATTTATTAATGTAAACAACAGGAAGTGCCCCTCCTTTCAGAGCCGTGCCCTCCTTTCATTACTAGTCTTAATAAGCCCCTCCCACAATCCCACAACATCTCAGCTGAGGGAAATACAAGTTTTTGTCTTTTTGACCTAAAATGTTTGAGGATTTCTTTTAAAGTGGTTCTGGTACTGACTGGAGGTGTTCTCCCCATCATCTGCATCCTCCTATCTTCCTGTAGACATCTGAGAAAATAAGAAAACATCCCTGTTGGCGTGTGTAAAAGGTTCTTTATGATGTGACTTCCTGTTGGAATACGTAAACAAAAAAACAAAAACTATAAAATATACTATAAAATATTTTATTCATTTATAGTATGTTAGAGGCGCAGTGGCAGAGGAGTTAAGTGCTCATCCCGTAACCGGAGGGTTGCAGGTTTCTGTTGCAGTCGTTGTGTCCTTGGGCAAGTCACTTCCCCTCCTGTCCTGCTGGTGGTGGTGCCTGTGTATGACAGCCTCGCCTCTGTCAGTGTGCTCCATGGCAGCTGTGGCTACATTGTAGCTCATCACCACCAGTGTAAGAATGTGTGTGTGAATGACTGTTGTAAAGTGTCTTGGGGGGTTTAGGGTTAAGGAGCTATAAATACAGACCATTTACTATTTACTGGATTCATTTTCGAAAAGAGCTTTATGGACAAAGAGAGCTGACATTAATTAAAAAAATGTCGAGCATGTAAATAGAACAAAACACAAACAACAAAGGGTCCGTTAGTCTCTGCTGTGATGAATCACTGGATTAAAACTGGATTATTTGCATTCCTTGCAGAAATGCTGTTTGAATGCTTGTAAAACATGCCAGATGAAACTGCTCAAGAACTGAGGTGAAGCTAAAACGGAGCTAAAATTGTTTTAAAGTTAGGCTCCACCCACTTGGTCACTGTGACTAGTGCCTTTAAAATTAGGCTCCACCCATTTGCTCACAATTTCTACTATGTCTATTATATTTATATGTATTCTGAAAATCTGCGGCACTGCAAATGAAGGCGCGACATGAGTAATCAGTAAGCCAACGAGGAAGATAATGAGAGGAAAACTGCAGAAATTGTTGAGCTTCATAACAGCATTTGAAACATCAATACCAAAAAAACATCATGTCCATGTCCTGAATGTTTTCATACCAAATTTGCTTAAAAAGCTGAAAAACAGTTAATAGAAAGATGGCAAAAGGTGAAAAAATGGATACTTTTGTTTGAATGCTGAAGCATTCAATCAAAATGTAAATATTTTCATTTTCCAGCGCTGCGAGAACAGGAAATGAATGATTATTGATCATTTCTGCTCCATATCTGAACAGCTTGATTGCTGACACCCTGAACAGAAATCCCTGCCGATATTCCGGGCTCTACCTCCCACCGTGTTAGAGCAGGGAGGAGATTAAGGAGGGAAACCGGAGCAGATTGGCCAGACAAAGTTAACCTAGATTCAGTCGTGTTTATGAGCCGACTCCTGGCTGTCTGAGGCTCGTTGGACGACGTAGAACTTGAGTAAAAAACTCAACGTTTGGAGATTTGGAGCAAAACTATAAACTGGATTTGGTTCTTCTAAGGAACCAGCATGGATCCGGGCAGACTTCCTGTCCCTGGGTTACAGACTGAATCAGGACCAGCACATACCGGACTACCTGGTCAAATCCTATAAAAACCCACTATCTCTGTCCTGTAAAAACATGGCTGAGTGAGGAGTCAGATTCTCTCCCACCTAAAGGCTGCTGCTCCTCTGCTGATGGGCACCAGCAGGTCAGAGCACACGTCACCATCTCACCTGTTTAACTGACCTTCTTCAGCTTTGTACTGCATCACATCTTTTAAGGCCTCAGCAGCTAGGTGAAGCTGAAGCTGAGTGATGATCAGGATTTTGCTGTGGCCGTCCACTGATTGACTGATGTGATGCATTCATGTTTCTTTAAGGTTTTAGAATTTTTATGTGTATTTGGTCTCAGATGTTTATTTCAGCACTTTGGTCGAGATAGCTGTGTTCAAAGTGCTCCACAAACAAAGTGGATTCGATCATCAGATGCATCTTTTCTTTTAGCTCAGAGGTAGATTATAAAAGTGGTTTTATGGTAACATGCTTTAGGAGTTCTTTTGTATTGTTTGGATGAGATCGGAACAGTCTGCTCAGACTTCAGGCCTGAAACCCTTTTGTTGTTTGACCGAACGGTCAGAGCAGTCATTGTCTTCTGAGGGCGACGCGTACCCATCTCCACCCCACCATGGTATCTATCTATCTATCTATCTATCTATCTATCTATCTATCTATCTATCTATCTATCTATCTATCTATCTATCTATCTATCTATCTATCTATCTATCTATCTATCTATCTATCTATCTATCTATCTATCTATCTATCTATCTATCTATCTATCTATCTATCTATCTATCTATCTATCTATCTATCTATCTATCTATCTATCTATCTATCTATCTATCTATCTATCTATCTATCTATCTATCTATCTATCTATCTATCTATCTATCTATCTATCTATCTATCTATCTATCTATCTATCTATCTATCTATCTATCTATCTATCTATCTATCTATCTATCTATCTATCTATCTATCTATCTATCTATCTATCTATCTATCTATCTATCTATCTATCTATCTATCTATCTATCTATCTATCTATCTATCTATCTATCTATCTATCTATCTATCTATCTATCTATCTATCTATCTATCTATCTATCTATCTATCTATCTATCTATCTATCTATCTATCTATCTATCTATCTATCTATCTATCTATCTATCTATCTATCTATCTATCTATCTATCTATCTATCTGATATAACCAGTAGGCTGTCAGCTCTCCATCACTGCTCCATACCCTGGTATGTAATTGTTCAGGTCCTCCCAGTCCCTCATCAGCACCATGCCCCAGGTGACCAACACTCAGCTGATACTGACGTTTTCATTATTGAACCTTAACTACATGTGATTGTCTAGTTATAACATAGGTCTCCACAGTTTCTTGAACAAATAAATGATTTTTGTTGATTCCTTTATTTCTATTACAGCCCATGTCGTATTGAATAGTTGTTTAATCCCTATTCTCAGTAGTGTGTATGCATCTGTGTGCGTGTGTGTGTGTGTGTGTGTGCGCGCGCGTGTGTGTGCGTGCGTGTGTGTGTGTGTGTGTGTGTGTGTGTGTGTGTGTGTGTGTGTGTGTGTGTGTGTGTGTGTGTGTGTGTGTGTGTGTGTAACAGCACTACAATACCCCTGCTGGGCTTTTGTCTGGGAGGGTTTTGTTGTTTTAAACACCTGAGTGCTCCCTCACTGACCCAGCTTGAGCAGGGCTATTAGAGCTGATGGAGGCAGGTGAAACTGTCTGTTTACACCAAGCTTCATGAAGTGCCAAATTGCCGCCATTACTCTGTGAGAGTCTGAAGAGCATGGATTCAGCTGTTGTGTTCTGCATGGCGGGTCGCCCTGTTTGGAGTGTGTGTGTGTGTGTTTGTGTGTGTACACACTCCACCTACCTCAGCGCAATGTCTTTGTCTCGCTGCCATCACTAATCTCTCCTCTCGTCTGCTTCACACAAAAACAGAATTAATAATTACAGACTTTTATACCTGAGCATGCTCAAAAAGTAGAGTGACAGAAAACACACATGCACACACGCACACGCACACACGCACACACGCACACACACACACACACACACACACACACACACACACACACACACACACACACACACACACACACACACACACACGATGGGCTTTGTGCTGGATGGTGTGTGACGCACCTCATTACTCCCAGTGAGAGGGCTGACAGCGGGGGATGGTGGTGGTGGTGGTGGGGGGGTGCTGCTGTCAGAGTTCCACCCACGGGTCGTGCAGAGGCTGAGGAATTAAAGCAGAAATCCAGAGTTTCCCCCGTCAGGAATTATGTACGATATTTGAGAATTGCAGGACCACATGTGATTTTGGTTAACGCAGAAACAAGCAAGGAGAAAGATGGCAGCGTGGATCTGAAAAGTATGTGTTTATTTTCTGTTTGGC